TGCTAGCGATGCTTATGGTGCCATTAGTGATTGCTGAAGTTAAAATTGGCACTCAGGAGGGTCCAAAACACCATGAAATGTACAGTGACCGGGGCAGTTACATGTACTGGTAATGGAGGCGATTACTGCATACTGCAATTTTCCCTTGACAAACATGAATGTTTATTGCTATTTTGAGTACATGGCTTTGGAATCATTCCTACATGGGTACCGAGAGCCTGCGAGGTTTAAGACACATTTGTGTATACAAAGTCGCCTTAGGGTTCCCGCTGTGTGTGTCTGTAAATATACAGTCTGGACCGTTCTTCCTAGGATTGCAGTTACTGACGTGTCTCTGGTTAAGTGGGAAGAACGACTGCCTGGAGAGGAGAAGGCGTTCGATACGTCATACTGAAAGAAGTTGGTTTTTTGATTTGTTATTCAACGCCGCACTCGGCAATATTACAGCTATATGGCGGCAGTCTGTAAATAATCCAGTCTGGACCAGACGATCTAGTGATCATCAGCATGAACATCGATCTACGCAAATGGGATACGATGGCATGTATCAACCAAGTCAGCGAGCCTGACCAGCTGATCCCGTTAGTCGCCTCTTTCCACAAGCATGGGTTGCTGAAGACCATTTCTAACCGAATCTTCACAGGTCCTGAAAGAGTGAGTGAGTGAGTGAGTTTTGGTTTTACGCCGCTTTTAGCAATATTCCAGCAATATCACGGCGGGGGACACCAGAAATGGGCTTCACACTTTGTACCTATGTGGGGAATCGAACCCGGGTCTTCGGCGTGACGAGCGAACGCTTTAACCACTAGGCTACCCCATCGCCCCAGGTCCTGAAAGAACCGAAACGATGGCTTCTGATACAAGCACTAGCCAGCTCGGTAGCTATATGTTGTTTCTGAGCTCGGCATCTATGTTGGTAACTCAGCACTAGTTAGGACTAGCGGACTAGTACAGACACACATAAGCACACGCTCACGCTCACACGTGCAAACACATCCACAGTCACTCGTATCTTGTATACAGAAGTGAAAGTGTAAGCATGTCCCTACCATCGTCATATACACACGCGCTCGCACGCACGCGCGCGCGTCTCTAAACCCGAATTCACCTGACCCCAGCGTTCGAAATTAACGTCGGCCATTAGGTCCGAAGCCGACAGAAAACCACTCGGACCCACAGCTTTTGTTTTCTGCGGGTCCTTATGGCCAACAGCTTTTTCATCCCCAATAACTAAGATTATTATTTTCATATTATTTAAAAAATATAGGACCTACACATTCAGATCAGGACCCCCAACTTTTTGTATGGTTCAGGGTTTTTAAGGCCTACATCTCTTCAGGGTTAAGGGTAAACACGTGCACTACCTGACCTTATTGTTAATCACGATTGGTGTTTGACGCTGGGAAACGTATTGAAAAAAGCGGCATAAAATACAGACAAACAAAGTATGTGTTTTCAGGACCGAACACTTTCTCATTCATAGCTGGATAATCTGTCATAAACTATCATCTTTTTTTATAAAATACAACAACTAAATTTGTAATATAAAAGCCCATATATTCTGTCCGTAACTAAGTTATCAGTCCCCTTCTGACATTGGAGATAGATGTCATCAAGCTTAAGTAGGTTCATGCATTTTCCCGTTTACATTTACATGTGCAAGGAAGTCGCACACTGTGGGGCTGAAAAATACTACCTGTCTCGTTGTAGCATACTGACGGGACTGCAACAAGGGATTTTATTACACTTCAATCAGTTTTTTGTAACTTATCGCTGCCCTACCAACAGTTACGTGTACGTTGTCAGGTGTTCACAATCCGCCCCTCCATTCGTTATGCAGAGTTACGTGCCTTTGTCGTGCCAGGAATCGCTGTCTTGAGTGCGTTATTCATCACTAATGAACATCACAATGGATTTGTTCTCCCATTACAGAGCCGGATACAGCTTTTTGAGAAGGGGTGGGGGGTGGGGTGGTGGTGTGTGTGTGTGCACGCTATTGAGAAAGGAGGGGCGCACACTTCATTTACACGAGAGTTTCAATGGTCATTTAATAAACTTTCAGGACAAAAGGTGGGGTGCGCACACTGCACCCCTACCCCCTCCTGGACCCGCCTATGCATGAAACACGCACTCCATGTCACAGAAATATATATTGGCATATAGTTAAACTGGCGCTAAACCTAAATACCCTTATACGGTGAAAGGTACGACACGTGAAGTCATCACTAAAGGTACTTAGTTTCCTGTTTGTTTATTTCTAAACCGGGGAAAAAATATTTCATTACACAACAAGAAACGACTCGAGAAAATTGTTAAAGCCGCGTGAAACTTACCCACTCAGTCAAATGACTCTATGAGTATTAAACACTACTGTGTTACCATGACAACATAATGCCTAACAGTATCAGATTATAACATGCAAATACAAGTCTTCGGTTTCAAGACGAAGTTAATAAAGACACGTAGATCAATGTTTCATTAAAGTTTTTTTGTGGACGACCTACAGTGAATGGCGACTGGGTTTATTAGGTCTGCATGTTGGACAGTGACATTTTGAAGTGGGCACGCAATCCTGCTGATATTGGTTTAGATTAAAGGCTCCGACTCCAGTCAACACAAGGTGACTTAGCTCAGCGATACTATCTCAGCTTGCCTTTGCATGATCCGTTAATTAAACCTCGGCAATATTCCGTGCTGTTTATCTTTACAAATATTCCACGATTAAGCTTTTCTGTAGGCGCTCGATGATGTAAATACGACACATGTAAACTAAGTAAATCCGTGTTATATTTATTGCTCATAGTACTACATAATTAAATAACATTTGATATTTTTTGGCAAGGCAAGCTAATAATATAACGGTAAACATACAACGATTGTGCATTCACCAAAATCAAACTCTTGTTGTTTTTGTCTGATAGAAAGGTTATAACGGTTATAGTGACATTTTATTCTCCATAAAATTTTGATATTTTCTCTGTTGAACGGAATATCTAGTTAATACGAGAGATCGTAATGTAATCATAGTCACGCCAAGGACACGCCACACACAGTGAATGAGGTTTTATACCGTTTTTAGCAATATTCCAGCAATATCAAGGCGGGGGACACCAGAAATGGGTTCCACACATTGTACCCATGTGGGGAATCGAACCCGGGTCTTCAGCGTGACGAGCAAACGCTTTAACAACTAGGCTACCCCACAGCCCACTTCACACAGACACACAGCCTAATCTGATTACAGTAACTACCTCCCGTGAAGATCCGGGTTAGAATTCGTCTACAGTAACCCATGCTTGTCATAAGAGGCGACTAACTGGATCCGGTGGTCAGGCTCGTTAACTTGGTTGACACATCGTATCCAAATTGCGTAGATCGATTGTCACGCTGTTGATCACTGGATTGTCTGATCCAGACTGGATTATTTACAGACCGCCGCCATATAGCTGGAATATTGCGTAAAACTAAACTCACTCACACGAAACATTTTGATATTGAACAGAATATCTTGATAATACGATAGATCGTAATGTAATCATAGTATCGTCAAGGACACGTCACACACAGTGAGTGAGTAAGGTTTTAAGCCGCTTTACCAATATTCCAGTGATATGACGACAGGGAACATCAGGAATGGATTCCACACATTGTACACATGGGGAATCAAACCCAGATCTTGAGCGTGGCTACACCAGTGGATCTCCGAGGACTCCACAGAGCGCTAGTAGAGGAATGGAATGCGATTCCGCAAGCTTTTTTCATGAACTTGATAAGGAGCATGAGAACAAGGTGCACCTGTGTCTTGGATGCGCCAGGAGGGTACACAAGATATTGAATGACTGAGTGCTTCATGTTGGTCATTTTCATTGCGGGGGGATTGGTCTATACAACTGATGTTTGCTAGTGCTGTTTGAACTTTTTGTCTGTATGCAACAATGTGTCACGTTTGTCAACACACTTAACATTATGATGACACTCTTAGTTCTATTATTTCTGATCAACTTTCTTTACATGTCCTCTATATCATTTGATCCTATATTGATGACGCTTAGTATAATTTAAGACAGAATTCTTTTACAAATGTATATAGCCACTAATGATGCGTATGTTTATGTTTTCTCTTTAATAATCCTATATTAGTGTCCTGTCAAGCACTACTACTGCTACCACTACCACTACTACTACTACTACTACTACTACTACTACTACTACTACTACTACTACTACTACTACTACTACTACTACTACTTGATCACTGGATTGTCTGGTCCAAACTCGATTATTTACAGACCGCCGCCATATAGCTCGAATATTGCTGAGTGCGGCGTAAAACTAAACTCACTCAATCACTTCTACTACTACTACTACTACTACTACTACTACTACTACTACAACAACAACAAAGGAAAATAATCATTAATTGTTATATCGTCTAATTTCCATTATAACTTGCTAATCATATCCATAATTAAATTGCTCATCGCTAGACCGAACTTCGTAGATAGATGCTCATGCTGTTGATCACTGGATTGTCTGGTCCAGACTCGATTATTTACAGACCCCCACCATATAGTTGGGATATTGCTGAATGCGGCGTTAAACAACAAAACAACTTTTACATTCGGCATTCCAATATTAGATTTTGTCGAGCCGCCATCCCGTGAAGGAATCTACCTAAGACTACGAGAAAATTGGTAACAAATTTCCCTTATTACCGATCGCTTTTGACAACTGAATCTATAAAGCTAATTCCCCGAATCAATATCGTAAGTGGCTTACTCGACGCCACAGTACTCCCGGTGTCAAACTAGAATGTGACACATTCAGATCATGTAAACAATCCATTATCAACGTCCCGCATTGGTAGAGTAAAAAACACATTTAAATGTGTCAATTCAATCATTAGCTACTGTCGTCATGGTATAGAAGTGAAGTTTCACACTGCGGTGTTGACAATCTGTCATAGTTGATTGAGCACAGAATAAGTCACGGTCACAGAACACCGCCCCGTCGCACATCTATCGAGGGCCGATTATTGCTCATTTTCAAAGCATAAACAAAGAGAGTCCCTAGCAACCGGCCATACCCACGAGTGTCAGCGGGACCGCAACGAGCGACCGCGACCGGTAAAGCACCTGAACCAGTCAGACACACAGCTACCCTCTGTAGTTGACAACGAGTGAGAGAGGCGAGGTGATACGGCAATGGCGGCCCCGGCTTAACATGAGCATGACTTCAAGTTAAGTTCGTTCATCGTTAGAGCGGAATTGATACTGCCATGGGTTCTGAGCTAGATTCAGAATGTGTGGACATACTCCGCGGTCGACTGGGGGACCCGGGATGTCCCCTTGTACCCACACGGGGGGTTCGACTTTACCTCTGTTCCACAGGCTCAGGTGAGTCAGTGTAAATAGTTCTAACAAATGTGTTACAATATTTCGAAAAAAATTAAAATAGCTAAACATATACAATTTTTATACCCTAGACTAAAAAGATAAACAGTATAATTGTTTCATTTTTATTAACATCATTGTTTGTTTGTACAAAGAACAACTGATCTAGTGATTTCTAATATTCCTGTTTTTTCAGTTTGATAGTGTTTTGATTAGTAATGACGTTCCAGCTAATTAAACCATTGGCCACGCTGTTGAATCCAGTAGATTGTAATGTATGTGTACATGTACATGTATATAGATATGTCATATCTATGTGTGATGGGAATGCACACAATTCGAATGCACCTGCATCTTCTCCCTCACCATCCCTATCCAAATCGTCTATGTATAATTCAATATCTCACAGATCAATACAGTGATAATGAACTCTCCTTATTTGAACAGTTATCTCTAATTCCGTTAAATCGATTAGAAAATCACACTGTAAAAATACACTTGTCAGCCATGTAACATTGTTTGGTCGTTATTTCAACCTTGTTAGACATATACTCTCATATATAAAGCGCCTTTGAACCTGTTATAAATGTAAAAAAAAATATATCGATTGTTTGTGATTACCATACTGTTACCACAGCAATGCGATTAAATATGCATGTGCTTAGTTATATGATAGTGATTGCAGGTTAGGGCATACGAAGCATTGACGCTATTTCATCTTACTCATTATCACTGAATACATTTCACCATGAATTCTACTCCATAGCCACAACAAACCTGTAATATTGTACATATTGGACAGGAGCTCTTTACCATTTGACCGTTGCAGTGTGTATATATACAACGGGTTTGTCCTTGCTTATCAAACAAACCTTTCAGTGTCTACCTACCAGTTCAGTGTGATTTATCAGATTACAAAGCATAGAGTATTCATAATAGTACTTTAAAACATATGAGTATAACCCTCTTTAAGATTTAATTTAAGCCTTAATCCCCAGGCAGATGGCCACATGCACAGCGCCATCTTAGCCTTAAGACTTTTAAAGGCATATGCTGTATAGACTATAGGAGAACAGCATTTTAGCCTTAAGACTTTTAAAGGCATATGCTGTATAGACTATAGGAGAACAGCATTTTAGCCTTAAGACTTTTAAAGGCATATGCTGTATAGACTATAGGAGAACAGCATTTTAGCCTTAAGACTTTTAAAGGCATATGCTGTATAGACTATAGGAGAACAGCATTTTAGCCTTAAGACTTTTAAAGGCATATGCTGTATAGACTATAGGAGAACAGCATTTTAGCCTTAAGACTTTTAAAGGCATATGTTGAATAGGCTATGGGAGAAACAGCATTTTAGCCTTAAGACTTTTAAAAGCACATGTTGTATAGACTATAGTAGACACAGCAAGACTTTTAAAGGCATATGTTGAAAAGAGAAACAGCAGCTCTATCGTTGATACCACCTTGTCGAAAGCGTTCACAAACGTCATCTTAGCCTAAAGATGGTAAAACTATTATAAGCATGTTTTAATCAAACTATAAATGATACAATACTTCTACAATCACCAGTTTGTTCCAAGCACCGGGACCGTATTCATAATGCGATCTTAGACTTGAGATTATTGTACAGATGTTTTAGTGATACTGTAGGAGCTACAATAATTGTAGGGCTGAGACCGCCTTGACCCAAACATAGAGTCCACATGCACTCTCGATCATAACCTTAAGCCTTGTCTAAGGGTACGTTTATTAGACTATAGGGGATACGGCAGTTGTCACGCTAAGACGCTTTGCCAAACCACCGAGGAACTACCTTAGCCCGAGGAGATACAATATCTCAGAATTACGACTGTGGTCGGTAAATGTTACAACATGGGGCCCTGGGTAAGGTAAATTGTTGCAATATAAAAACAACCTTACCTCAACCGAACGCTTTAGAAAATACACCTACTCACTAATGTGATGTGGTTGTATAACTCGTACAAATTTGGATAACATGTGGAATTTGCTGTCATTAATGAGTGAGTGAGTGAGTGAGTTTATTTTTACACCACACTCAGCAATATTCCAGCTATATGGCGGCGGTCTGTCAAATAATCGAGTCTGGACCAGACAATCCTGGGATCAACAGCATGAGCATCAATCTACGCAATTGGAATACGATGACATGTGTCAACCAAGTCAGCGAGCCTGACCACCCGATCCCGTTAGTCGCCTCTTACGACAAGCATGGGTTACTGAAGGTTCATACTAACCCGGATCTTCACGGGTCCTGCCATTAATGAACAGACCACATGTTTTCACTGTGCCATCCTCGTTTATCGCGTTCATTATATCTCCATTCTGTTACGATAAATACCCTGGTTTGCTTTTTGGCAACACGTGTTAGACTGACCTTCAGTAACCCATGCTTGTCGTAAGAGGTGATTAACGGGATCGTGTGGTCAGACTCGCTGACTTGGTTGACACATGTCATCGTATTCCAATTGCGTAGATTGATGCTCATGTTGTTGATCACTGGATTGTCTGGTCCAGACTCGAGTATGTACACCGCCGCTGTAATGTTGTTGAGTATGTCATTACAAATTTCCCCCTTCTCTCCCTCCCTCCTTAACCTTTCGTTTACTCTCTCATCCCATCTCAAATTTCTTTCTTTCTGTCATTAATTTCCACTATCTCACTTTCTCTCTGCTTCTCTTCCCCCTCTCTCCCGCCCCCCACGCCGCTGTTCCTCAGCTTAATGAGACTATCGGAGTGTGAATATTACATGAGTATCTTGTTTGTGGGAGAATGTCTCGGCTGATACACGCAGGGTAACTAGCCACGTGTGTCTAGTCAATAGTTGATGAACTGTAACGGTGGAGGCTAGGAGCCTACGTCTTTCATTGTTGAAGCTACCTGGGATCTATTAAATAAATCACGACAGGAATATTAACTTTCAACCAACATTGAACATTTTGTGTAAATACAATTCATTGCCTACAATAAACGACGGTCATGTCCAGGGTTTCACACAACCCTAGAGACATCGCGTTTCTCTCTCTCTCACATTCATAAGCCCCCACTCTCTCGCTCTCTTCTCGCTGACTCTTGCCCTCCCTCTATTACCCTTTCGCTCCCGCCACCTTCTTTTGTTCATTCTTCAGTTCCCTCTCTCATTCATTCCCCCATCCCTTCCCACCCCTCACTCACTCTTCCATTCCCCCTCTCGCCCTCTCTCTTTCTCGTCTCTTTCAACGCATTCATTAAATGTCTCTCTATCTCTTCCCTCTTAGTTTATTCTCGTCTTAAATCTGTTATTCAATTTCAGATTTTCTCTACCATTAATACTTCACTCTGTAAATGTCTTTCTTCCTGACTCTCTCTTTCAGATACCTCTCTCTCATCACTGTCCCTCCCACCCTCTCATTCTCATTGTCTGCCCATCATTTTGTCGCTGTCATATTCCTCTCTGATTGACCCCACCCTACCCCACCCATCTCCTCGCCCGCTGTCTAAATCAGAATGTCATCAATACGACGGTAGACATCAAGAAACTCTTGTCACTTGTCGATTTACAATCCACTGCAATCATTCACGTCCCTATAATATATCTATCAACAAAACCCAAACACCTAACCTCTAAAAGTCAATAACGCCCGCAATACTGGTCTCTATTGACACATATTTCAACGCCACAGAGATACTAGGTGTCTTTATGGCCTATGCATGACATACAATGAGTTGTAGATTTCATGTAGATTTCTCGTATATGTCTCTACATGTCTACAGGTAACGGCGCGTATTCATTTAAAGGGTGGGTATCATAATACGTTTCAGGCTTTCATAAAGCTACATTAGCGTGTTGCCAAAACATATTGGTAGCTGTATACCCCCTCAGCAGTGTCTGGCTTTAAGGACAGTGTATTGTGTACATACAAAGCCCCCTCCGGGAGATTGTCACTAGGAGAAACGTCCCATTAGACTACTATTGCTATCACGAACTAAGTAATCGATTGCTTGATACCGAATCGCGTATATAGAAAGGATAGTTTTTATATAGACACTTTAATTGTGCTCAGTGCGAGTTTCATTTGAGAATAGCCCATAGCTTTCAAAAGCTTTGATCATCGATACACTCAAATCCAATAATGCGCATTCAGGGGGGGAAATAACTTTAAAATTGCTAGTGTACTCCGGTACAGTGGCACATGTAAAATCACTTGCCCTGATAATTTTTCCACTATACCGGCCGTTTTCTTGTTGATTTTTAAAATAAACAACATAATTAATATTGGAAAGTCAACTGGACACCGGTACAGTGCGATATACAAATTTGCTTGACCGACAGAAAAAACCACTGGACTCGGGCGTCGGGCAGTGGGTTATTTCCACCCCTGCACATAGCAAAAAAAGAGATGTACAGTACATGTTAACTCTGAACTGATCAAAGTAGTTTGAGATAGAAGAGAGTAAGGGAATGGATATGGACATAGCTTGAAAGATTATGTAGGAATTTAATACCCCCAGTGTGGTGACAACGGGAATGTTTCTGGTAATGTTAACAGTTAATTATAACTGTTTCTTAAACCTGACTGTTCTCATGTGCATGTGTGCGAATGTACGTGCGAGTGCGCGCGCACGCCATGTAACATAAATCTGATATATATATTTCATTACATCCTGTAAGACGGGAATTGCTAACTACAAAGTCATGAAGAGTAACAGTTTAGTGTTGGGATTATGGTAACACTACGCATTATCGATACATATGAAGCTATATCGATTACATATGGAATACCACAATGGCTTATGATCGATTGATATTGAATGAAGAACCCTAACAAATGAAGTAGAAAAAGTTCATTATTTTATGGAATTATCGGACCTATTTAGAATTAGCTGCTCATTTGGTCTATCAAATGAAGGAACCCGCAGTTCAGCCTTGGTTGTGTGTACATGCCTGATACTTAAGACTGTGGCTGAGAGGGAGAGCATACACTTTCCCTTAAGACGCTCATCTCCCTTCTGTTGTTGACAACGAACGACGGTAGCGATGTGACAGGACAATGGCATCTCCTCATCGTGATGGTTTGAAGTTAAGCTTGTTTATGGAGCGGAATTACAACTGGCTTAGCTTCTGCAATAGGTTCAGAAGGCGTCGGGATATTCCAGGGTCGCTTATGGGTACCCGGGAGTAAACAATAGGCGCTAAAGTATCAAAAGCCTGGCCCACCTTCATAAACTATCATGAGCGTGTATTAAATGACCTACAAGAGCTACAATAGATCACGTTGTCCCAAACACAGGACCCACGTACGCATGGCGATCTCAGCTTGGTGGTGAACTGGTGCCTCTTGGTAGTTTTGGATTTCTGAATAAACTAAATTTTGCGTTTCCATGGCAACAACTTTGACTTTGACTGAAATTGGTGGTAGTGCACCTGTCAGCAGCAGAACTTAATATGCTTTCAATAATTTCCTTCCACTTTGTGCTTAATACTCAAAGAGGAAAGAAGCAGCTCAATGACTTTACCAACAATCACAATGAGATTGACAATCAACTCATTTCGGTGGCATTTGCATCAGAATCAGTTTTCCGGAGTAACAGAACAGCAATTACCCTTATCCTTTGTTTAGATATCGTACAATAAATTTAGATCCAAACATTCTTGAAAGCAACTTTTCGACAGGTATTTGTAAGCAACAGAGGATCAAGTACTGATTGAACAGGCTCAAATTATGTTAGACTTGTCTCATAAAAATGCTCATGGATTCCACGCCTGTGTTTGACCTCTCAACAGTGCAGAATATTTGATTGATTGTTTGATCTATGTTTTGTTTAACATGCTCTTAAGATGTTGACTCACATTGAACGCGTTTCAAGTGGCTGCTTAACGCTCAACAACGGGATCGAACATTCTTGGTACATATGTCTGATCTCTGTATGGTGTCCTTGCAATTGTAAGGCGGGCCCAGGAGTTGCACCGAGTAAACAAACTATGCCATACAATCAGTGTGCGTAATAGTTTCCAAAGTTTGCTTGCCAGTCGGGCTAGCTATGCCTGAAGGTTACTAGCCCACAAAACAATTCACTAGCCCGAAATTTGGATTTAGAATCTAAACAAAAGATTACAAAATGGTAATATACCATTATCTATGAGGCCATAATCTTGCATGATTTCAAAGTGTATTATAACTTAACAAGTCGGAGAGAGTGATATGTTTAAAAGATGACCCCATGAAAATTCACTAGCCAGTCGGGCCAGTGACTAAGGAGATTTACTGGCCCGACTAGATTTTTACTAGCCACGGGCACACGGTACAAATAGGCCCATATCCCGCACCTGATGTCCTAATTAATCACACACATATCTTTACTCGGTCTGAAAACTCCCAATCGAATTTCTTTCTAAGCATGCGTATTAAGATCGTGTCATTATATGATTTAATTTATGTCGTTCATATAAAAGTTAAACGTTTTTCGTTTTTGCACATAATTGCACTTTTTGATGTAACCACAAGTAACGGTATCCTATTAAAGGCCATTTTAATATACTCTCTACTTGTTTATAAAATTGTTTTGATTAACAGAAATTGAAATTGAGTGACTGGAAAATATGAATGAAAATTAAACAAAACTCAACCGACCTACCACGCTATTTTTAAAAATAAAGTATGAGAAAAATGATATTGTTCCGGCCTTAAGTACCCGGTTTTGATTGGGCATATTTATTGTAGATTCCCAGACCGAACGCAATGCTTTTGTGGAGACAGTCTACCCAAAGATTCGAGAGTATTGCAGGAACAAGTATGGAGTGGAATTCCAGGTAAGTCAACTAACAGGGTTCGTCGCGTGTGGTATCCCCACTTAAGTATCTCTGACATTCACACAGTCAATCGTGACCACTCGATGATAAGTCCCGTGTTGAAGCAGATCGATAGGAGCAGTTAACGTTGTGTCTCCGACCAGGAGATTACTTTTAGTGTCCTACACTCCTTGGCTACTCCGAAATGAAACCGTTACGTATCGAGATCATGCATGGTGTACTATCTGAGGTACGCTGAGATTAAACAGATACGTATCGAGATCATGCATGGTGTACTATCTGAGTAACACTGAGGTTAAACCGTTATGTGTTGAGATTATGATGTATTATCTTGGGGTACTCCGAGATGAAATCGTTACCTATCGAAATCATGCTGTACCATCTTAGGTACTCCGAGATGAAACCGTTTCGTGTCGAGATCATGTTATATTATCTGAGGTACTGCGAGATTGAACCGTTGCGTGTCGAGTACGTACGTAATCAATCGTCATCTATAAATCGTGTCTTAATATTTGCAGTTGGTTTCAATAGTAACAATTTTTAAAAAGTTGTTATCCATAAACAGTGTATATTATTTAGTTCACGGATCCTTAGAAGAAGACGTCTCATTAGCACACTTTTCAACAATAGAACAGCAAGTATCGTGTTGACATCTGCCTATAAGTAGTGCATATTCTCGTAACTGTAAATGTTCCGTCATTGAATCCACGACCATTGATTCAGCACCACTCCAAGAAGTATGTGTTTAGTTCCCATGGCATATTTACAGATTGACACTTCACATAAATGCCAAGTGATAATTGAATCGTTAAAATGATTTTTTATCCTTTATATATTTGAACTGTCTAATTATGCGTTTATATCGACACCCAACAACACCTTTTAAAAAAAAATGTCCACCAATAAACTAATTATCACATAATTCCAACTTGTTTTTGATCAGGTAGTTGACCTGGAGTGGGGTTTGCGACCTGACATAGATAATGTGACTCCTGTGTCGGCAGAATTCCGCCAAGGGGAGATAACCCGATGCCAGAAGCTTTCTTCTGGGCCGAGCTTCCTGGTATGTACATTCAGAATCATTCTAATCATATAATTCTTGTGCTTTCAGACGTTTTAAGATGATTTCAAATGTTCTGTTTCTATACTGATGTAATTGTTGACGTAGTGTCGTGACGTCGCTGTAGATGATGCCGCTACGTCTTTTCATTAAAGCCGTTATTGCACGTATTTCAAGTAGATCTATTCGTCAATGGTCCTTTTTCAAAACTCACAACACGGTTTATAGATGAACACATACCTTTATTTTTAACTTTGCGTTTCAGGCATTTGTTGGACAAAGGTATGGCGCCTGTCCATTGCAAGCAACCATTCCGGCTTCTGAATACGAAACAATCCGAATCGCTCTTCAGAACCACCGGAGCCGTGAGACTCGCAGCGCCCCCTTGCTTGACGATTGGTACATCAGGGACGATAATCACATTCCACCTGTCTACGTGCTGAAACCCGCGTCTGAGGTCATACACGATATCAGTAGTGTGAGTGGTTGCTGTATATATAGGGTGTGTTGGGTCAGTTGGCAAAGCGTTGGGTTGTAACACCGGGTTTTAATGTACTGTCTGCTGTACGTCCGATTTTGTATGGGTTTTATATTGGTGTTTATCAAAGTTGGGTACAACCAATGTATGGGCTTTATTTTGGTGTTTACCAAAGGTGGGTACAAGATATGCCGTCAGTTATGGGTGTCCTCCGTTCTGATATTGAAGAAGTGATGAGAAGAGTTTGAGTTCCTGGGCACCGTTCAACAAAGTGATCGTAGCACTTGATGAGCGTAACGGTCTACCTCTTCCGTAGACTTACGACAGTCGTAGCGCTAGATGATCGTAACGGTCTACCTCTTCCGTAGACTTACGACAGTCGTAGCGCTAGATGAGCGTAACGGTCTACCTCTTCCGTGGACTTACGACAGTCGTAGCGCTAGATGATCGTAACGGTCTACCTCTTCCGTAGACTTACGACAGTCGTAGCGCTAGATGATCGTAACGGATCGTACCTCTACCTCTTGCGTAGACTTACGACAGTCGTAGCACTAAGATGATCGTAACGGTCTACCTCTTCCGTAGACTTACGACAGTCGTAGCGCTACGGTAGCTTTTTGACCTGGGCCCCGTTCCTCAAAGCGATCGTAGCGCTACGACAGTCGTAAGTCTATGTTAAAGTATGGGAGTTACGATCACCTTAGCGCTACGATCGCTTTGAGGAACGGGGCCCAGCTGGACGCCGTTTTACAAAGCAGTCTTAGCGCTACGACAGTCGTACACCATGTTAAGGTATGGGAGTAACGATCACGTTAGTCTAAAGATGACTTTTTACGACGGCACCATGGTCTTCAGTGGAAAATGAAAAGTGAATTGTTTATCTCTTTTATGAAGATCATTTCTACATCGCTAATATGTCTCGCTAATTTCTCAATACCATTTAAAGCATTATTGTGGATCGTGGACAAAACAAAGAGAAATGTACCTATTAGGTTTTCACCTTGCCTTACAGGATGACGAGAACAAACGATCGGCCGCCGAGAGCTTGAAGTTGGAGACTGAGGCCAAGATAAGGCGTTTATTGCAGAAGGGAGCAGAATTCTGTTATAGCGAAGGCTCGATAGACAGTGACACTAAAACCAAATACTTCATGTCAGGTGAGCTTATCTGAAATAGTGTAGTTGTCGGAAGCATGTTCTCAATGCATGTAATTAAAAGAATGAGGCGTTTGTATAAAGTCAAAAGACACACTGTACCTAAATGCGTTAAAGGGGACTGACTATATGTGTCCCACGGCTTCATACACTTCAACGGAATAGTAGTTAGGAAATTCACTGTGTTAATTATTTAAATACATCATAATGTTTCGATTACAGATAAGAGAGTGGGTTTTGAATGGCTTCAGTTATACTTGCTAGAACTACAAACAAGATAGACTTCAAAACCAAATCACTATGTTATATTGGCAAGTATCTTATTTTGTTTCTTTGTTCAATTTTGGTTCTTTTGTCAGTATAGTAAACTGATCCAGAGTGGGATCATACATGAAGAATTGAAACAAAAAATAAAGCATTTGTTCATTCATCCATGTCTTCCAGAACAAGAAATTGAGATGACAATGGGGATCTGCGACAGCGGTAATCCCCAACAGCAGTGTCTCCTTGTCCTCAGGGACATCATCGACCTAAAAAATTACATTGGTGACGAGCGCACTCCATGTTTCACCGACATCATCTACAACGACAAGATTGACAAGCTGGAACTCGATGCGGAAGCTGACCTGAAACTACAGCAAGTAAAGAAGCGAGCAAAGAATCTAGTATCTCCAAACAACGCAGTTTGTTTTGATGTTTTGTGGCGGTATGACGATGTCATCAACTCCAAGCTTCACAGGAAGTACCTCGATGAGCTGTGTACCCAAGTTCATGATCGGCTAGTTCAGCTCATTGACGAGACTGTTCCTAGAAGAAGAATGGACTTTCCGGAACTATGTCATGAACCGCTGCTCCACCTCGAGCGATGCAAGCAGCTCGGAGCTCACTTCTATGGTAGACAGGACATGCTGTCTCAGGTCCAGGCATACCTTGTACAGCAATCCTCATTGCCTCTGATCATATATGGGGAATCTGGAAGTGGTAAAACTAAACTCCTGTCCAGGATTGCGCAAGAGGTAATTATTGATAATCTTCATCAAATGCATTCGAATCTCAAACAAATATTTACATTGAAATACAATTCTTAATCATCATTTTGGATTTATTGATAATAATTATTCAGCCCCTAGTCAGTATAGAATATAACCCATATAACGTAGGGGCATTAAACTTATCTATAGTTTTCTATATATATATATATATATATATATATTCGGTAGGCCAAACTAACGAGATTTCTCCACATTTGCAAACATTGTTTCAACAATCAAAGGTAGTAAGTTGTTTGCCTTTGCACGAACCAATAGTTGTATCACTAACAACATATTTCTTTTGCAGATTCCCAAAATATATGGAGACAGTGGCATCTTGATTGTTCGGTATGTGGGCTTCACCCAGGAGAGCTCAGATCTTCGACAAATACTTTCCAGCATCTGTTCTCAGTTGTGTGCCATCGTAAACAGAGACCAGACATCAGACCCAAAGGATCTTCCTGTCTACTTCGAGGACCTCCTTAACTCTGTTCCAAACTATTTGTCGGTTGTGATACTCCTGGATGGAGTGGAACAAATTCAACCTGACCATAATGCGCACCTAATGTCATGGATTCCTGCATCGTTGCCCGTTAATGTCAAAATGATAATTACATGTCAGCCAAACTCCACCAAAATCCTTGAAACATTGAGAAGTGACATTGTTCAAGACGACAGCGCATTCATGCAGCTTGATAACCTCAGTGGCAATGAGTGTGAGGGATTAATGAATGAAATCATGGCAGCATCTGGAAGGAAAATAACACAAGAACAATATGAAGTCTACCAGGAGTCCTTTACAAAATGTTCACTGCCAATGTATATTCATCTGCTGGCTGAAGAAGGGAAGACCCTTCATAGCTTCCTTGGGACAGATCCTATTTCAAAGACTTCGGGAATCTTGGATGCAATCAATATGTTTTTAAGCAAACTTGAAGAACGTCATGGTAAAGTTTTTGTTTCCAGGTGCTTGGCTTTTATGGCTGCCTCTGGGACAGGTCTAAGTGACTGTGAAATGGAGGATCTACTTTCTTTAGATGAGGATGCTCTGAACAGCGTCTACATTGGCTACCACCCCGCAATACGTCGAATACCTCCTCAGAGGTGGATGGAACTGAAACGCAATCTGGAACAGTTTCTGATATACAGAAATACAGACGAAGCAACAATTTACAGCTGGAGCCACGATCTGTTCCTCCAGGTGTGTCAAGCAAGATATTTATGTGAAGAATCTATCAAAAGAAAAACGCATTCAGTCCTTGCAGACTACTACCTAGGAACCTGGGCTGACACTCCAAAACCAGTGACAAAAGATGACACGAAAAGTGACGTTATTCTTCTGTCGTGTGGTGACAAATCTGACAGGAGAGTTCCAACACAACCTTTGACATTCACAAGCAACGGAATAGGTGTGAAATTTAACAAAAGAAAGTATGACAAGGTTCCTCGCCATCTTGATTTATCAGGAAGAGCTGACGAGTTCAAGACACTAGTTCTCTTCAACTATGAATGGTTATATAACAAGATTAAAGCTCTGTCGTTGCAGCATATAATGACAGACTTTTCTCTGAGTCCTGCATCAGAAGCTTCGCTTGTTGAAGGAGCATTGCGGGTGGCTGAGCCAACACTAAATCGAGACATCAACAATCTACCTGCAGAAATCACTGGTCGCCTTCTGCCATATTACTCCACACATGCAAATGTTCGAGAGCTTGTCAAGCAGTGCGATACAACTGGTCTCGACCACTGTGCCCTCATACCCAACTTCCCATACTTGCAAGTTCCCGGTAGCTCACTTCAATTTACCATGGAATGCCCTGTGTCCAGTGAGTATTTTGGCTTTACAAACGATGACAGATTCCTATTTACAAAGGAAAAGGACAGTTCATACATCTATATGTTTGATCTTTTGAATGGTGAACTGAAAAATAGAGTCTTTACTTCAAATGGAGACTTTTTGGTCACACCAGACGGAAAGTATTTCGTCATCGTCGATCATGCCACAGAAAAGGCAATCAAGTTTCATGAAGCAGATAGTGGATCATTCCTTGGACAGATAATTATTCTGAATCATATTGAGATGAAACCCACTGAAACATACAAGAAAGGGCCAATGTGCATCACAAATGACAGACTCTGTGCCATAGTGACAACAGATACAAGCTTTCTGTGTATAGCGGACGTGCCATCTTGCAAACTATTGCAAATTGTAGCTTTGGATGGGAAATCCACAATATGCGAAATCTCCCCAGATGGAAAATATGTGTTCTGCAGTTCAGACGAATATCTGCTATCCTACGACCTGGACTCACTGGATCTTCTGTGTACTTTGTCAATTGGCTATAAACCCAGTTCCTTCACATTTAGCCATGATGGATACAGAGCTTTCTTGTCCAATTCTGTAGAATCAAAACTGTATACGCTGCACATCAGTTATGGTGTGGTGGATATGAGCTACAAAGGACTCCTAGATGAAGTTCTGCAAGATGATACTATTCTTGATCTCAAGGTATCCCCTGATGATGAGTTTGTCCTTGTTCGTGGGGACAGGATTCTGGTCGTTCACGATCGAGCTACCGAGAGTGTGTGTGCAAAGCTGGAGAGACCCAGTGACATCCCAGAAGAGTTCAGGCTACCAAAGAGTCACTACGTTGAACTCAACTTCACGAAAGCTGAATTCTCTAGCGACAGCAAGTATGTTATTGGTACCATATTCCGGAATGTGTACGTTTGGCAAATTGAAACACAGAGTGTTGTAACCAGCCTTCAGGCCCCTATCGGAATCATCACATCCCTTTTGGTTACTAAAAACAGAAACCAGGTTGTCACACAGCTCCAAGGACACAAGACAATACAGGTGTGGAACATAGAGGAAGCTGTTAACAAGGTGGACATGCTTGACAAAGTCACTGGCCCCATCCAACAGGTCCTGTTGACGAAGGATGGTTCTGTAGCAATTGTTCAGTGTGAGGAGAGTGATGCCATAGGCATGATAGACATGAAGACTGGGACAATGCTTGATCTCCTTACCCATGACTCAGATGTCAAGGATATGGCCATCACACCAGCTGGGGATTATCTCTTGCTTACTGTTGTCCCCAAAATGAGTGAAACCTCAACGCGGATTTGGGACATGACTGAGAGAAGGGTTATAAAGGAATTTGGTAATGCTCCTGGATACTGCGTTTGTCTGAATGAGAAAAACATCATCATCTTCGTTGGACAGAAAGAAGTTACTTTCCGAGCCCCATACTACATTACAGTAATGCAGTTTGCAGCAGGAGCATTTGCAGAAGAGGAGCATGCACAAGCTTTGAAATTTGTTCTCAAAAAGCCCTTTGTAACAAGAAGTGATCGCTACCTGGTTGCTCTTACTGCAAAGGACTATCTTGAAAACTCGGGTGTGTATGATACACCGACCATATGCATCTTTGACTTAAACAAGGACATGAGATTAGCATGCTACACGCTTGAGAGTCTAGGACTGGTGGACAATGAGGACGACATCATTGACCTCAGACCATGTCCTTGCATGGAGAACTGGATTGCAGTCATCTACTCCACCAATGCGCCTGACGTCTGTCACGATGGTATTGAGAATGGGTATCTGAACAACCCACCTCACTATGGTTTCCTCCTCTTTGAAGTCGGAAATGGATGGGTTATCAGAAAGATCGAGCCTTTTCTCGACTCAGCAGTTGATATACAAGATGTTCTGTTTGCAAACGACTTCACTTTCTGCTTGGACAAAGAATCACGTATATTTGACCTGATGAGCGGCGATTACACAAGCCAGATTCTAAACCCTCCTTCAGTGCCTAAAGCCCTTTTATTAGATGGTTATGTCGTAGTGTACTTTAAAGGATCAATGATATACGCAATACGTATTTGTGACAGTCAGGTCATTGCCCAGTGTGAGGTCCACGCTACTATTTGCTCCTTGACACTATGCAAGGATGACAGAACATTGATCGTTGGTTGTACAGATGGAACAGTTGTCTCGTACGTCCTCATAGATCCAGCCGTGGAAAACCCTCAGCTCGTTCTGGCTAGAGTAAGCAGTAGGCAGCTGCCCAAATCTCCAACACCTGCTGTGGATGGAAAAGCATCACGATCCTGGGATAAAATCGACCAGTTCAGCTTCCGCAGCTACTCTCGTCCACCTTCTGTGGTGAGCTTAGGCCCCAGGGAAAAAGAACTACTGAAGAAGGTCCAACATGTGCCAAGGGAACGACCCAAATCTGACACTCAGATGCATTCAAAATCTGCTGCTTGTTCAGTGATGTGACATTGGTGAAGACTGAATCGAACTTCGTCATCATAATACATGGACGCTGAAAAGATTATTACTGAATGAATGTTCGGAACAGTGCTTGTTGGTATCATTGAAGTGGCAAACGGCTACACCCAACATCCCCTAGACGTTCTTCACGCATTAACCTTCCATGCTTTGATATTACTGAAATACTGTTCAAACATAAGTGAAACCAAAGACATAGGACAATCTATACTCATGCCAATAATGGTTGTCACCCCCTTCCCCACCCAAACCCCCCACACCCCTCTCCAACAAAAAATATTGAAGGGGGTGACAACTATTATTGGCATGAGTATATAATGCATAGTAGAGGAATCTGCGTTTTTGGACACTAATTATGGGATGTTATAAAAATTACTACATCTTTGGATAACAGAAGAACATATATCAGTTCATGATAGGTGGCTCATTAAGGTACAAAGCGTTCAATACAGCCTATCAAACAGAGCAATACAAAAATGCAACATATACTGAGAGAAACAAATACAGGAACACAGGACATTCAGTGTTCCTTTCAGATTTTCCAGTTTTAATCACCGGCTTTAGCGATGTTGGAGAAAATCTGGGAATAAATAAAGGAACACTCCCATGAAGTGGTGTTCCCTTATCTGATTCCCTCAGTATATATAACATGAATGTATGAGGAAACAAACGATTTTTGACAGGAAGTTGAACAGTCTTGTTCTACAATGTAAATAGCTGTACATGACACTCATAGATAGAATGGCACACCCTATGCAATATTATATATGCAATAGTCAGTCGCAATAAGTGCACCTCAGTTTTATCCTGCATAGTCATGTGTAAGTGTCCTTATTATCAATAGAATGAGGTCAGTTTGGAAGTTTGTTTGCACCTCCAGATAGGATTCGATGAATGCTCACGGGTCAACTTGTACAAAACGGTCTTAGCGCTTAGCTAGCTCAAACTCCCGATATTTGTCATAGACTTTCAACAGTTGTAGCACTGAAAAGTTTTGTACAAGTGGACCCATGACAGATTGAAAGTATTTAACATTTATGAGGCTGATTTTAGGAATGCTTTATTCTCATAATGTTATGACCCGTTTCATACATGAACATGATACAGCAAGAATAGTATGTGTGTACAGTCATCGTTCATATAAATTAGTACTACTCACGATGTGGTGATCATTATATATAACCAAATGAAGTGAAAAACGCTTCCAGTCTGAAATAAAGTTTGATGTATTCTTAGGTATTTTTAAAGCAATCTGTAAATATGTACATTATGTTTGTGTCAGGCTGTAAATACTATCAGTCAAAGAAATAGAAATACCATCTACATCAGTCAATGATGATTGAGGAATTTATGTAATGTAAGGCTACTGGAAATGATTGCGTCTACACCTACATGAGTTGTCTCCCTTTGTATTAAAAAAATGTCCATGTTGATGTCAGGGACACCTGAGGTGAGATTTGTGTTAAGGACAAATTGTCTTCTACCAAGGACGATGTCTCATGCTGAGATACGGGTTTAGAGAACTGATATAGACATAATACTTTTAAGTTATTTGGTGTGATGTGTTATAGCCATCATTCTGTGATATATCTATAGTGCTTTCAGCCATATACAGTTCTCTTAATGCTTTTGTTATTTATGATTGACACCTTTTGGAAATAAATTCTATCTAGAACATTTGGATTCCGGCTGTTATTGAAAACAGTGAGTGAGTGAGTGAGTCATGCTGAGTGAGTGAGTCATGCTGAGTGAGTGAGTGAGTTATGCTGAGTGAGTGAGTGAGTGAGTTAGTGAGTCATGCTGAGATACGGGTTAAGAGAACTGATATAGAAACATACTACTTGTACGTTATTTGGTGTGATTTGTTATAGCTATCATTCTGTGATACATCTATAGTGGAACATTTGGATTCCGGCTGTTATTGAAACAGTGAGTGAGTGAGTGAGTGTGTGACTTTGGTTTTACGCAGCCTTTATCAATATTCCAGCAATGTCACGGCAGGGGACACCACAAATGGGTTTCACACATTTTACCCATGTGGGTAATCGAACCCGAGTCTTCGACGTGACGACCGAACACTTTAACCACTAGGCAAGGACAACTTCTTTATTATTTAGAAAACATACAACTATGGGTACAGCTTCGTTTTTATTTGCATTTATCGACGGCTCCATCTGGATACGTACGTCCCCGCCGTCTTTGAGTGGACAAGGGTAGATAACTCCATCTTGAAAACATAGTTATAATCTACTCTGGAGGTAGCGAAGTGCTATAAGCCAGAAGTTGTTATGTATACTCAGCAAAATTAAAAAACTTTACACTGATAAATTTCCACATTTTTCTTTTTCTGTTTAATTAAATAAATTTACAAGTATATTAAACAGTAATAAACAGTTTGAATGTTTTAATTTCGTGAAATTGTAATTTCACGTGCAAACCTTGACTTTGTAGCCTATAAAGATTAAAAACACGAAATGCACGTGTGAAAAGCAAATTCATGAGGTCATTCGGTGCATGATTGCTTAAACTGAACACACACATTGAATGTGAGCTTGAAAAACAAATTAAACATTTTAATTTTTATTTTGAAATGCCACGCCTTTCAAATCAAGAACGTCAACGTGCTATGGGAGGTTTGATGATGGTCAGTCTGTGGTCGCTGTTGAAAGAGCCTTTAATTGCTCTCAACAAACAATTTTTTAATCGTAGGATGTCAGTAGCGTGCCTGCCATTAGGCACTTTAGGCACGTGCCTACACTTACTTTTGTCGGCAATTCACCACTATGCCCGTGACATCAGAATCAAGCGAGAGATCCTTCAGTGCAATGAATGGTATCAAGACGTACCTTCGGTCTACCATGGGTGATGTCCGTATGTCATCACTTGCACTTATCCATGTCCACAGAGAGACGCCAGTAAACACACACCGTGTCATTCAGCAATATGCTGATCGGAAGACGAGGCACATGGATTTCATTTAAGACGGTACATAACATGCTCACAACAATATTACTCTCCAGAATACAGACTTTCTTTTCTTATTGATCCACATAATTGTCATTTGTCCAAATTATGTTTATATATAAGGTACTCAGAAGCTAGTATTCTAGCGGTTAATATGTATACACAACACTACATGCAACAATTGGCTTCAGCCAAAATAACTAGCAGTAGTCTACAGATCTTTCGATATGCATATAAATTGTATACTGACTTCTGTTCAATTCAATTCTTTATTACAGAAGTGTAGGCCATCGGCCCATAACTACATAGGTTACATTTACATGGCAAATCATGGTGTGTACAGTATAGATTGATAATTTTTAACATCTTAGATACATTGCATGATAGATAAAGCTAGCTAAGTTATTTATAAGTTTACAATCTGATGATGACATGAGGAGTTTGAATTTGGCTTTACTTGGGTTGATACAATAGGTTTTAGGTAAATGGTTACAGAAGTCTGTCAGAGATGTGAGGTGAGGTGAGGTGAGGTGAGGTGAGGTGAGGTGAGGTGAAATTGGGTTTAACGTCGTGCTTGAGAATATTTCGCTCATATGACAACGTGCATGCGTGTGTATGTGTATGTGCGGCTGCTTGTACTAGCCAAGACTTAAGCTGGTTTTATAGTGCTAGCCCACTGAGATACCATGCCGCAGTGAAATACCCCACTCAGACACATTATACTGACTCCGAGCCGACCAGTCCTTGTTGTACCCATTAATGCCGAGCGCCAGACAGGGACCAACAAGTACCATATTTAAGCGTCTTTTGGTATGACGCGGTCGGGGATCGAACCCGCGACCTTCCGCTCTCCGGGCGGACGCTCTAACCACTACACCACGGAGGCGGTCGTCAGAGACAGTGGAATTCGGTTGTCTTCAGCGACGAATCTCGGTTCACATTGAGATTTACCGGCGGCAAGGCCCGAGTGTACAGCAGGCGAGGTGAACGTCACACTCAAGTCTGCGTCCTTAAATTGGTCAGATTTGGTGGCGAAAGCGTAATGGTATGGGGTTCGATTTGTGCACACGGACGTTCTCCCTTTGTTGTCGTTCGAGGGAACTTAAATGCTGCCCAGTGCAGGGATCAGATTTGCTTCCATTTATGCAGAGGCATGGTCCTGGACTGACGTTCCAACAAGACACCGCTAGACCACATACGGCAATTCCTACGCAGAATTTCAACCACCCAATTATGGAGCCTGAGAGATATTGAGCAAATATTACGAGCAGGAAACCTAAAATTACAGTCATAAAACTAAGTGAATGAGTGAGTGCGTTAAGATTTAAAGTCACATCGACAATATTTCTGCCAAATTAGTTCTAAATGCATAATACATACATATGATATATAAAACCCTGTCAACGAAAGACAGTAAAATTACTAGATTATCACAAAATGAGCTAGCATATACATTGTATCTTTAAAAGTAGAAACTATTTTTGGACAATACAATGTAAAAATACGCTATTGATTGCCAACAACTGAAGGTGGATCACCATACCAGGGACCATAAGATAAAGACTTGGTTTGACAGATATAACGATTCTGGTTGTAAACAGTCATTGGCTAAACATGTCAGATTTTACCCTATTCGTATGTCAGATATGACGTGTCTATATGTGATGCACAGAGAATCATAAGATTTTTATCATGAGAACACAAATCTACGCATGTTAAATAAGCCTTGTGTCTAATACATGTATTGGCATATTGATTTTGCGCTGGTAACTAATTACACAATATCACGATGCTCTTCTTTATTTGCATTGCCCATACTTGAATCGGCAGTGAGAGAGTTTTCTTTTAAGAAGCATTTCTGTCGTATCACAGCTTGTCAGCTTGGTGTGTATAGGATACCTTAAGTGGTGCAAGTCCTTGCTGTCATTGTGATACTATAAGTATACGTACCGGGACCCTGAGATAGAATACTATTATCTTGATCTTGAACCATAATTTGCAAATCAAGATTGCTGCAAAAAAAATAAAGCTTAAAAAATGTTTTACCCTACTGGGTATTAGATGTCCAGAGGCTTCATTTGAGCCATCTGTTGGAGGTTAAAATTGTTTAGGTGTACCCATCAAATACTCAGTTAGAGTGGTAATCAGATATTTCAACATACGACCTTGAAGTGAAAATTCCATATGATCTGGGACTTAGACATTGTTGGTGTTGTTTATCGCCATAACAAAGGTATTTCATCAAACTTCAGACGATTTGAAGCCTGGGACCAAATATGCGCAAGTCCGAGTTGGGTATCCGCTTGAAATAAATGAAAGAAAACGACACTCCACAAATAATAGACAAAACGACAAAAGCCTTAATTTCCATTTCATAAGAAATCTCTATTGAATGATTCCTACACCCATCACAAATACATGTAAAGACAAGTCAACGATTGTGTTTCAACACAAAGAAGTACATCGAACGGAAAGCCAGCTTACTGTTCAGGTGACAGAATGTCAACTGGTGACGTCAAGCATAATGGATGGTGTCCTTTATATTGTGGTGAATAATGAGGTACCGTAACGTCGTAATGTTCCAATTAATCAAACTAAAAATCACTAAAATGTACATGTGCAAATATTAAGGTTAGCTAAAATTATGTCTTTCGTCACATACGGATAATATTTTCTAGTTTACAAAGAGTCAGTACTTGCTGCAGCAATGATAAAGTTCAATATGTATGCACACTGCTATCACTGTGACATATCTATGTATTCACACACAGTTTTATTTAATACAACTAACGTTGATGTGAATACAGTACATGTTCATTTGTGTCAATAAATACTAAACATATTTATGAGCCTCACCACTAACTTCTCAGAAGAGCATTCTGAACACTGCAAATAATGTAATTGTTAGCGATGCCAATATAAACCCAACAAAAAATATCTTATCAAGATATTCTATTTTAAGCTTCAGGGGTTTCTTTGCCCTTTTTTCTAGATCGTGATTGTTCATGTCGGTTGTGGCATTGTGGTTGATCTCATCAGAACAGGTAGTGTCTTGGCGATCGATACCTTGATCATTTTCCTGATCAGGCTTTAGTCGACGGGTCGATTGCCTCTGTAATATTGCAACCCCCTTGCCCTCCTCATCATTCAGCCTCCATTTAAAATGATAGTTTAATGTTATGATATTGCAGATAATAGACAGCGCCCCTAAGGAAAGATGTAGAACAACGAACATCGCGATGACGGGGATATTATCAGAATTATTCGGTGTAATGTCACCAATATAGCTCAGGAATACTGTCAGAGACAGCATCGTTGTTACGGAGATTGATACCTTCTCACCTGATTCTACGGGAACCACGAACACAAAAGCATTAAGCATCGACAGCAAAACCGTCGGGATGAGGATTTTCAAAATGTAGAACACACTATGGCGTTTGAGAACGAACCTAAATGTAACACCGTTCTGATGGTTGTCGCTGAAGTTGTAGAAAGCATCCTCGTAGTCCAGACTGAGCAGCTCCCATTCACTGTTCTGTTTGTAGTGCCGCAGTATCACACCCTTGCCGTAAGGGACGAGGCGGACCTGATCCGCGTAGTACACCCAGGAGGATACGTTCATGAAGCAGACCTGCGAGTCGAAAGGGAAGGTTCGGACGTCCACCTCACAAATAGTCTGGTAGACGTTAGCAGGTGACCATTCAATGTAGCCTGATGAAAAGACCCTCATAAGGTCATCGCTCGTGCCAACGACACCCAAACTGTTGACGGCGTTGCGGACGACAATGTCGGGCTTCCATATCTGCAAGAAGGAATTAGTGTGTGAGTCAGTTAATATGGTTCAATATTCCAGAAATATCACGGCGGGGGACATCAGTAATGCGCTTCACACATTATACCCATGTGGGGAATCAAAACGGGGTCTTCGGCGTGATGAGCGAACGCCTTAACGACTAGGCTACTCCACCTCCCTTGTAAGAAGGGGGAGTAGGTTCTGTATACTTGATGGCTTGAACGTTTTCTTAACGGCTTTCTTAACGTTTTTATCAACTACTGTCCGCTCTGTTGTCCGTTTTGGTACCTGTTATGACAGTTATTCTCGATATGCATCTAAATGACGGTGCATGTAACATAACAAAATATTACACATTACACTATACATATTATGTAACGGAAACGTGTGTTGTAACAAGGTTGCTTACAGGAAATTTTGAATGTTGGAATATCAGAGCCATATTCTCTGCAAATTATGAACCTTAACTTCTAGTAGCATCTGTGTGTATCAAATCAAGAACAATTAGGTTCCGGCAGTCCTTTATAGATTCATGTTATCACATCTGGACCAGGACAATGTAACTGAAAGCATGAGTAACTGTCGCTCCATCAAGTCACTACGGCATTTGTTGTATTAATCCTATAAATCAAATTCAACTCCACTTAAAGGTCACATGCAACCAAAAAAAACACAGTTATCACTTATTCATGACATATAATATACATTGCTGGTTATGAAAAAACATAAACAAAATCATAAGTGTACAATCGCAAATCAAAAGTGTAATATTTACTTCCCTAGAAACGAAGCAGCAGGGATACCGAACCCAGTCAGAGCGGGTGGGTGTGCACTCAAGTGTAACGGCTGGCTCATTTGCAGATTCCCTCACGGCTCATTGTGTGTGTATATAAAGAGATGTTGGATTTTGTAAATACATGCTCATTTTTTGTGTATAACATTTTACAATCAACAGACATCATAACATGTCATGTGTACAAGTATCACACCTGCCTGTCTGTGTAATTACATAATGTGACACCGAACTCGGGCCATAAATCAATGCGTTTTGTTTATGGTATATAGCCAGATAGGTGTTAAGTTCAAATTGCATGTGGTCAGTGATCGAAGTTGTGTATTGAATATTGTCATTAGCAGACAGGCAGGCAGACACATAGGTGTCAATAAAACAGACATTGAGTTTTGTCTGTGACAACGACATATCTATATCACAGTTAGAAATTCTGTCAACGCTAAATAATGACATTGCTTTTAAGTATCGAACTGAGAAAGTGACTCGGTAAGAAGAACGTGTGGTGAAATAGACAAAAAGATTATATAAACAGTTAAATCGGTAATCTAATGTCATAACATATGAAAACCTCACGCCCGTGAAATATCAACAAAACATTAGAAAAATAGCTCACACCAAAGCCTTCACCGAGTATTCACCGGACAACCCGCTTCCAAGCTGCGCGAACCTATTTCACTGCTATTAGCGCAGCCCAGCTGTTGAAACCACTTAAATTCCCCCAAGCGCTGGGGGAAAATTAGTGAATCGTTTGAACTACGATTTCGCGCGGTTTTTTTCATCGCGTTATTTTCAACTTTATAAGTTGAATTTGCATTTTTGATGATTTGTTTCGGTAAGTCCATACCGAAAGGTATCAGAATCTGCAAAGTTGTGTTTTACGTTGCATGTGACCTTTAAGATATCTATAGTTAAGGTCATATTCATCATGAACAGCCAGGTAATCAACAAGCGTGTGTAGTGCTACTCGCATACCTAGCAGTTCTACCAGCAAGTGGTCCCCCATCGTCAAATATAGGGAAAGGTGACAACAAAAAAATGATCGTTTGTTAAACAACTTTTGTATTCTGGTGTCCAGAAACACACGTCATCAGAGTTGGTCTCTCAATTTCACCTGAGTGTGCCAAATTTGGTTTTGTTGCAATTATTAGATTTCATCGGTCTCAAATGAAATCAAGCGAGCTGTATGTGACGTGACTACTTGCGTACTTTCACGACTGCTCACCAGAGCAGCTACTGCATTCCTGCATATACTCAATATACAAAACTCAAAATAAGTTAAAGACCACCCGATTCTTCTATATCGCTGTAATAGTTACTGACAGGCATAAAAATGCGAACATTCACATACCTTTTCATGAATCACCATAACAGACTCTATGCCTCCATACTCTGTAGAATTCCAGATGTACCGATCGTCGTTCCACCAAAAATCCAACCATCCGCTTGTTGTAAGAATCTGTTGACGTTCATCCAGGCCAATTATAAACAGAAGATTGAACCACATGTTGACATCAATCCGCTGACCCGCCACAGGGTCGGCACTGGCTAGAACGGATCTCCTTTCAATCTCAAGTGAAAGGCTTAGTTGTTGCTCTAACGTTTGACACGAGAAGAGTTTTGTCCGGATCAGTAAGGCTAGGAAAAGCTGTGCGGGAATTGAGGGCGTCATGCCTTTTGAAAAAGCATCTGCGTGTTTGTGTGATCTGCTCTCAGCTGAAATGGAACATGCATATGTAACAGGATTAAGGCAGCTCGTCATGTCTATTATAAGTGTGTTAAAACCGACCCGAGGCAACAAACAAGTACTAGGCGGAAGGAAGAAGAAAATGCAATTCTAGTATATTGAGACTGACTGACTGAGTTTGGTTTTACGCCGCTTTTAGCAATATTCCAGCAACATCACGGCGGGGGACACCAGAAATGGGCTTCACACATTTTACCCATGTGGGGATTCGAACCCCGGTCTTCGGCGTGACGAGCCAACACTTTAACCACTAGGCTACCCCACCGCCCCAGTACATTGAGAACTTTGTACTCACAACCCATGAAACAAATGTGACATTACATGTATTGGGATACCAAATTAATATGTACCATGAGTCTTGAAGTCTATACAAATATATTTACCATGCATGCTCAAGTAAATGCTTTTGTTTAAGAACAGAATTACGAATTCATCTAAATGATATTCTTGACACTGACATTTTAACTAAATACTCACCAGGAATTTCTTAAAAACAATTGACCACTACCATGGCAAATGCATCCTCAAGTAAATAATATTTGTTAAGTAATATCGGGACGATGGCATCTTAATGAAATTCTCATTTTATCCAAACGATGAGAGCTATCTTACCGCAGCCGTGAAGTCCCAGTGCTCTTCTTGATGAGGGTTGTCTATATGAAAGTGTTCCATCAGATGTATTGAAATTTCAACATCTTCACTCTCCATGCCATCGCCGCAAACTAACCGAAAAGCAACTAACCTTTTTCATTGACTAACGCTTGTTGCCAATATCTTGCATGTGATCTGCAGGTGGATTGTGAATGTCTTCATCTGGGTACCGCTAAGTCCTCATTTAGGGCATCAATATGTTACGTGTTTGTTCTGTCTTCTCACTTCTGGTAACAACCTCGAAGATACAAAGACACGTCTTGACAGATACTCTTGCACTGAAGTGATTATCTATTACAATGGAAAAGGCAGTCGGAAAACACAGGTACCTGGATAAATACCAGGTGATTGCCATCCATGGTTCTATATAAATACGCCAGCCAGTATGTAAATATTCTTTCTGTCACAAACCACGTTATTAATTCTGTTTGTTATGTGATCAATTACATGTTGAGTGCCCGATACAGCTTGTCGACACGCTAATCAATAACTGGGAGGTCAACGATTCTGTGGATGTAGTTGTGTTTATGCCGATAATTGTACAGTCACTACTACCCGTGGTGCCAATTTCCTAAAGTTCGAACCACAGTTTGTTTCTTAGCAACTCTGAGTTTTTTTATAGATTTTGTGTAGGAACAATAGTTCCATTGATGGAAATTAATAGTTATATACTGTGAATACCTCTTTCGTCTTGAACGGTTCCGTCCTTCCATTCTTTCAGAAAGTCAAATTAGTACCTTCTTTGACATCCATAATATCTTTCCCCTTTTTCTCAAAATACAGATAATAAAATACAGATTAGAATCAAGAGACACCAAATAGCAAAGTACACGTGACAGTCACGTGGACTCCTTTTCTTGACTGTGAACCCGTGAAGGTCCGGGTTAGAATGAACCTTCAGTAACCCATGCTTGTCGTAAGAGGCGACTAACGGGATCGGGTGGTCAGGCTTGGTTGACACATGTCATCGGTTCCCAATTGCGCATCGCTTAAAAGAGACAAGAAGAAATGTAATGCTGATAATTTGGAAATCTGCTGTTGGAGGTATGTGAAATTAAAGCTTCATTCTTGATTAGTGTCATATTATCTTCATCAGAATACATCATGATTTTAAGAGTTTAGTTGTTTACTAATTTTATGGTCAAACTACTAATTTTGATCCTTGAAACTACTATTTGCAACAGTTTGGGGTTGGCATCTCTGCACTCTTGTTCAGAAGTTGTTCGATCAAGGTTACAACACTCAGGGCCTCAGTAGAGCTTTCAAAACGTTTTATGGTAGACATGTGGATGATGATATTCCCATGCCTCCGCCGGAGAAATTAAATCAGTGTAGAAATCATCTTTTATTTTACACTCAAATAATATTCACTTCGAGTAAGTGTTTTGGGCAACAACGGTCTTCCTCTACAAATCCACTCGGTCTCTAAGTTAATTTCCATAGTACGCTGGATCATGCCTGCTCAAAATGCATTCAATACCTTGGCCAATGCACCAGTATCATGTTCTTTATAGTTATAAAATTACAGATGCTTCAGCTGATCGGTTATACCTGGCACGTGTTTGTCTTTGAGAGAAGCAGGCTCTCCGCTTACAGAAGTGCATCACCAGTTGACCATTGATTAATGACGAAGACCTCGGTAACCTGTAATTTTATAGCATTTCAGATGATTTTAATCTATGACAGTGCATTACCCGACACTTGACGAGTCAAGGCCGTCATGGCATGGAGAACATACACTGACGTGAGATAACTCGAATGATGTAATTCATCTACATCATTTACTCTTTAACAAGGAGGGGCGGTAGGGTTAACGCCGAATGGTTAAAGCGTTCGCTCATCGCGCCGAAGCAGTATCACGGCGGGTGACACCAGAAATGGGCTTCACACATTGTACCCATGTAGGGAATCGAACCCGGGTCTTCAGCGTGACGAGCGGACGCTTTAACCATTCGGCTACCCCATCGCCCCACATCCGATAGTATTGAGACAGTGTCACATATGTGCAAACGCTATCGTTCTAGGTATTGACATTTCCAAGGACAGTCGATTTGCCTGTGTGGACCATGATGTCTATCAGTCTCATCAGCTGTGATTTATTTACTTGAGTTTATGTAATGTTTGACTATGAATGAGAGTTGTGGCAAATCAATTTGCTGTATTTTTTTCAGGCTACTGAAGTACCAGGGTCAATGCTCGACGGCAGCATGCTGTGTCACTTCTTACAGATCATTATGTTGACAACAGACGTCAGTTATGTACACAACATGGAAACGTGGGTAAACGTCTCTGAGTCCAACATCTTGAACTTCCTTGACAGGCGTGGATGAACGTCCAACCAACGTCAGCGATCCTTACCACCCTATCCAGTTAGTCGCCTCTTAGGACAAGCATGGGTTGCTGAAGACCAATTCTAAACCGGAGCTATATGGGTCGGATCGCTTATGGAGAGGGTGGCATCAATATGGTCCCATACTGTCTATGACCCGTGATCTTCAGCAACCCATGCTTGTCGTAAGAGGCGACTAACGGGATCGGGTGGTCAGGCTCGCTGACTTGGTCGACATGTGTCATCGTATCCTAATTACGTAGATCAATGCTCATACTGTTGGTCACTGGATTGTCTGGTCCAGACTCGATTATTTACAGACCTCCGCCATATAGGTGGAGTATTGCTGAGTGCGGTTTAAAACTAAAGTCACTCACTCACCATGCTGTCTATGGAAGGGTCACTGGAAAGTACTATCGGGGCAACATATTTTATTGACACCTGTTGTTGAAGTGTTTGCAAGGCGTATAGTTTGACGATTTGAGAACGGAATAATTTATGTTCATAGAATGCCATGGCTTAAAACGTTTAGGACATGATGGTGAGACTGACGATGTCTTCAGGCTCTGGAATCACGCCTAAGGTTGATTTATGCAAGTTCTTTGTGTCGGTGATGCTTACTTATGGTATTTTAAACATTTTAAGAGGGAAGAGGTACAAACGTTTGTAAGCTGAGAAAGACGGAGTTTATTCACATTCTTTCTTCTCTTTTCACTTCGTGCATTCTAACAATTACAATATGACTCACTGACTATATATACTGACGGGCAAAAGAAACTTTCTCCTCGTTCAATTTGATCTCACTTAAAAACAACAACTAGAAATCGAACTTTGCAATTTATTTTTTGTGAAGCAATGACATAGGCACGTGCTAAGTACAAACGTTCTAACAAGGCTGATAACTTATTGAACAGGTTATGGTCGACATGGGGTCAAACCAGAGAATTCACGATCAGTGGGTCCATTCGGGAAACACAGCAGAGCGCGAACAGAAGTCTCTAATAGCGAGTTTGTCCACCTTTGGATAGAATACATGCAAACACACGTCTTCTGACTGAAGTTGTGAGGCGTCTGATGACGTCACCTGGGATTCGCCTCCATTCTTCGACAAGGGCTTGAGTCATTTGCTGTACTGTAACTGGTGGATTCTGTCTCTTATTCGTTGAATAAATCTATCAAGGTGGTCCCATACGTGCTCGATTGGCGACATGTCAGGAGAGCGTGAAGGCCATGGCAGGACGTTGACATTGTTAGCGTGAAAGAAGTTCTGGACAACTAGAGCGACCATGTCGGTCTGTCAGCAGCGTTCCTCGGTACGGTCGGTAGGTCCTGATACCATAGCCCCGTAGTCTCCTTGACACTATCCTTCGACTCACTGAGTGACCGAGAGCTGTTGACGCTGATGACGTTATCAGCGGCTTCTAAGGTGTAACGTCCTCAGGCGGCGGTCTTCCTGCGCAGTTTTGATCCGGGGCTGCCTGTCTGGGGCCTGTCTGAGGTCTGACCAGTCTGTTGGTAACGCCGACCTAGGTTCCTGACGGCAATGCCGGAGCAATTGAAGGTTCTTGCAACGTGACCCGTTGTAGCGCCCATTTGCAGCATTCCGATGGCCCTCTCTCGCTCTGCTGAAGTTGACCTCGGCATTGTAAAGTGGTTTTCTGCTGAAGTACGATCTGCTCTGTGCTGTGAGGTGGTTTTATTTCATGCATGCACGTGCATTTTACCCTTACTTGCAAAACACGTGAAATTTGCTGTTTTCGATGCAAAGTTGTCAAGAGGTGCGTTTGAGCGCTGATTTTGGTCAGAATCGAACCCTTGTTGTTGGCAATAACTTTGGGGCAATTTGCATTTGATTATATTTTCTTATGTAAATATTATGAAAAAAATTGCAAGAGAAAGTTTCTTTTGCCCATCAGTATATAAGAAAAAGTTCTACTATCACACAAAAATTACGATCTGAAGAATTCTTTAGTTTTTCCACTTAATGATCACAGCAACACACAAATGAATTATATTAACACAACATGAAAGCGACATACCTGTCATACTAAAATTACAACAAAAGTAAAACAGTTAAGTTATATATATTCTTAAGAAAGTAGGGGAACCTGAACTTTCAATTGGAGAGGAAGTATAAGCGTGAACAAACGTTTCAAAGACAGACATCTTATGAACGCACCACCATTTCTCTTTATCACCACCCCTAAACACAACGCATGGGATGCACGTGCACAACGCAGTAGCCCCATACACGTGCATGGGTTGTCATTCACCATTTTGACGGTTTTCAAGAAGGTCGATAAATCAATGTAGATCATTAAGTTTGACAATCATCTTGCATCACACAGTTGTTCGTGTTTTTTTCTAGCCGTTCCTTTTGTTTGAAAATGTAAATCGTACACAAGCAAATTTCACGTCACACACCAATCATCTTTCAAGAGCGATTAGTGTACAAACAACTGTGGTCTTAAGAAAGTCCAAGTGACGATGCACTCTGGAAACATTCATTATTATCATATCAACATTGACTGACTCTTATATATCTCCCAAATTTTTTCAATCGTAAATTAAAAATGTAGTTCCCCTACTGTTTTGAAGAGTGTAAAAGGGAACATTTCAAACAGTCACTTGAAGCCAGCTGACATTGCGACTGTGATTCAATATATGCAAACCCTACCTTCTCATAAGATGTACGTATCATTAGTCGATCAAAAACGTTACACTTCGC